AATCATTTAGGATCAATACGTGGTGGACACTATACAACTTATGCAAAAAATTTTAAAAATCATCAATGGTATCATTTTGATGACACAAGAGTTTCTCATGTGACCGGTGATATTGAACAACAAATTATTAATCAAAATGCTTATATACTCATTTATTTGAAAGATACACCAAATTATCAAACATTCTAAATCTAACGAGCAACGAGTGTTATTGAGTTGCGATTGACACTCATATCGAAACAGCGATTGTGAGAGGAAAGTAACTGAACTGCTGGAGATAATTCAAATATTTTCTTTTGGGAGCATTATGACAGGGTTTTTAATTATTGTTGACTAGACAGTCTGTTGTTATATTATATAGCGAGAGTAAAACGATATAGTCACGTGAATAGAAAACTCTCACAAGAGTAAATCAGTTTACTGGAAACTGTTTTGCTAGAAAGCGATTAAAGGTAAACTACAGTAAGTTAATAATAGTTGTACTCAAGGAAATATTCTCAGCTCCTTAATTTTGTCGGTTTTTTACAACATTAAAGCACGAGGTAAAATTCATGAAATATCAAGTATTGACTCGCAAACAAATATTGTCAAGCGTAAACTTTTTAAAGTCTGTCTTTTATCTTTTATTTTCCTGTAATTAAAGTGTTTTAAAAACAAGCGAATGGAACACGAAAAAATTTCTCGATACATTTTTCACACGCCCTCGTTCTCCTTGAAGCAAATACCATTCGCTCACATCTTTCATAGTCAAAGCCCTGGATAACGATAGAAAAAAGAAGAACAGAAGAATAATGGAAACAGCCAAAGAACACTTTAACTATATTTTACAATCTTATACCGGACACTGTAGAAAATTTGTAGTGTTTCTCAGAATCTGGAGCTCGTGCTGTACCGGGTGACCACAGCGCAAGTCAAGGGGCAGGCGATGTTAAATTTAACCGTAGGAAAGTGATCAGACTCTTCTATAAGAGAAGATCACCCACTGCCATAGGTCTAGCTGCCTAAAAGCAATTCTGCAAAGTATATCTGTAACTCTTTATGAAGATAGTCGGAAATTCTCATTCAGCTGAATACTAAATTTTGGCTCTGAGTTCGTCTGGTGATGGTCTGCATCCAGGTTTTTTCTTTTTTGGTGATAGTGAAGATATCAGTTTTAAGGCAGTTTATGTATATTCATAGAAAATTTAGTAAATAAAAAGTAACTTTATAAATTGCAATACATAAAAAACGATTACTTAGAACTTTTTTCTGCACATACTACCTTCTACCAAATTTTTTGTTGTTTCGAGTCATAAAAAAGTGAAAGACTAAAAGAATGATGATTCCTCTCCACCGCTTGCGAGGGAACCTCGCAAGATGATGGAGCCTCATATTTTGCTGATCAATAGAGGGCGGTCATAACTTTGTTGTCAAATGTCGAGTTATGAATGTTCGACAATCTATAAACACACTGATCTCTGACATATGTCAAGTGCTGTCATGATACAATTCGTGCTGCCATGAGATGTGTTAAACAGATACCCATAGATGGTCAAACATTAATCATTGATACATTCATGTTTGACACATTTTGGTTCTGCAGTTGTTTCACATGTGTCTTGACAGCACTTGACACATGTTAAACATGAATGTATAAACGATGAATGTTTGACCGTTTATGAATATCTGTTCGACACGTGTCATGACAGCACATGAATGTAATGAATTTATGATGGCGTTCGACATTTTCTTGAAAAGTTTTGACACGACATTTGACAAAATAGTTATGGCCGCTCTGGACCGATAAGGTCAATATCTGAATTTTGAGCAAGCCTAAAAGGATTTGAACTGCTGCTTCTTTCGTTTATCGAGAGGCTGAAATGCTGATTCTTTCTATGATGTTAACCGAGTATTAGAACAACCATAGAAAGAAATATCAACTCAAAATTTCGACTGCATTCAAAATGCGACTGCACATAAAGCCTTTTTTACAATCTACACTCAAGCATTTTTTATTTATATATTTTAATTTATTTATTTATTCTTTTATATTTATTAGTAATATTTATAAATAATCAACAGAAAATATCATTATTCTCAGAGTGAAAAATCAAGGTTTTTTGAAAATTCAGGACATAAAAAGCGCAG